GGAACGCCTTGAGAGAAAACCATCCAAGAAGCTAACAGACGCTCTTAACAAGTTCTTGGGACGCAAGGAATCCAAAGGAGAAGAAGCGCGTGCTGCCACAAACACATTACAACATCCAAGTGTTTTAGTTACAGGCACGGAAGAAGAGCATCCCAAAAAGCCTCCACGAGTAAAGCCTAAGAAATTCTCAAAAAGTCATGAGAATCTGTGCCTGTCAAGTGTAGCAGAAGGAGGTGAGATAGTAACAGATGCACAGCAAACTGACAAAATGCAGGCTGCTGTTCCACAAGTTGCTGCAACCACTTCGCAGCCTGGCTTTACTCTTGAGTCTGTCACAAAGAGTATCTGTGACCACCTTTCTCAACTAGAGAGTGATATTACTTCACGCATTGGGAACATGGGAGTGCATGAGCAAGGCACTGTAGTACGGCCCACAGGCACACCCTGCCGTCTTCCTACAGCTTCTTCTGTACCATCTCTTACCACCTACGGACTCTCACCAGCACTGGCCAGTCGCCGCAGTGCAAGACCTACCAACCTAGACTTAGCTGCAGCAGGTATTGACAATCACAAGGCCCCACAAGCATCACAGGCGCACACGGTCACAACTGCCAGCAAGGACAGCAACCACATTCCCGTAAGTGAGAGTGAAGGAGTTAAGTATGCACAAATTAAGAAACTTGGAAGTGGCACAGGGGAAGTGGCCCCTTCAGAGGATGGAAGTCAAACCCCCACAGAGTCAGGTGAGTCTACAACGTCTGGCCCTGATGACCAACGGGGTGTCAGTGAGAATGATGATGAGAGCGTAATGGACAGGATCACCAGGAAGAGTTACTATTCACGTTTCCAAGAAATTAAGAAGCCAAAACTGAGACGAGCCAACACCAAGGAAGACATGGACCAGCAACTGGCAGCAGCAAAGGCTCGACTCATGAAGGAGGACCAGGAGCGTGCTATGAGAGATACCCTCAGTCCCCACAAGTATACCTCCCCCCTTGGTTCCCCTCGAGCCAATGTTACGTCACCCCCCTCATGGGAGAACCCTCGCCGTCACTCTCGCAAGTCTTTGCCACCAGAAGATCTGAGTCAGGCCTATTCGGGTGGACGCCGGGGTGCATCTCTGCAGCCAGATGACCTACCTGGCATCCGTCGCTTGACCTCTGTCCAACCACCAGACGTGGCCATGGGGGTCAAGCGTCGTCTGCCTTCCATGCCTCCTGATGAGCGCATCCGTTCCTTCCGTGCCCCATCTACACCTAGGGAGTCTCTCTCTGGTCGTCGTGTAAAATCCATCCCACCAGAAGACAAAATGTATGGCCAGCGTGCACCATCAACTCAGCCTGAGGACATCAGAAGACCATCACCTGTCAAGAGCCCCGAGGTAAAGGCTGATGATAATAATGCCATGCCTGATGTTGTAGCTGCTGCTGCAGCTGCAGGAGCACTAGCAGGAGAAGTGGCAGCTGTTGCAGCTTCAGACGGAACAAAGGAGAGAGGTAAGTCCAAATCTAGAGAGCCGTCTGTAAGTCGTTTGAAGAGTCCTGAACCCACGGAGTCCTGGAGTAGTGCCAAGGATGAGACTCGCACTCAGGCCCGTGAGGAACTCTCTCGTCGTCTCACTCACCTAACACGCATCTCTGGCACAAGTGGAATAGCAGCAGCTAAAAGAAATGTTGGTCTGGCAGGAGGCAATGCAAGTGATGGAGCTGGCATTCGGCCATACCGACGCACCAACACTACGGGACTTCTGGGAGAACCTACTTCTACCCAACCAGGAACCAGTACTAGCACTGGCAAGACCCTTACGGAGAGACCTGCATATCGTCGTACAAACACCATGGACCTCCCGCCTGCTGATGCGAGAGCACGGCCTGGGAGTGAATACAGGAGGATGCTTCAGGACCCCGCTCGTCGCTACTCTGCCGCCAGGTGGGTTCCTTGAGGCTCTCCTGCCCTGCTGTCAGGTCCTTCAATTTGCAGTCTGGCAGCAGCATCTCCTCCCACTCATCTCCTGTAGCAGCAACACTAGCAGTAGCGCAACTACCAGCACCCTAAGTAGTTGTACTATCCATGTCAATAGTAGAAGTAGCAGTCTAAATCAACCTTAGTGAGTGGCAGTAGGATGTTCCCATCACCGTTAGATACTCCCACAGATGTCCTGCAAGTGATGGCACCCCTGCCAGGTGGCCACCTCCCGTCCTCCAGCGGTGAGTAGTCGTGAGAGCAGAGACACCCAGATCACTTACTAATCTCACATTTCATGCTTGCTCCTCATCCTGTTAAAGCACATATTTGTTTTTGTCTTCTGTTAAGTTGTTCTTTGTCTTAAAGATGTGTCCTAAATAATAGCTCTGACCAGGTGCGACATTTCCTCATTTCTTTGGGGGAGGGGGCAAGGTTGGGGAGTGAGTCTCTAGGGTGCTGCAAGTCCCCCAAAGAAAATTTTTGAAAATGAGCTATTGTAGGACCATTTTTTAGCTACAACCAGAGCTATGAAGCTGTAATTTGGGCAAAAATAATGTTGGAATGTGGCTCTTGGGGGGGGGGGGGGGAGCAGCCAGACCTTGAGGGGGGCAATCAGTCAGGGGGGGCAAATTGCCCCCTAGTTCCACCCCAAATGATGTCTCTGACTGATCTTTGGAGAATTATGCATTGCAAACCCTGAAGGATTTATGTACAATGCATGCTGATACGAGTCCCTGGCAGTACTATTTATATTGTTATATACATAACAGTGAAAGATGGAATAATGCACTGGCCACATTTATATCATGAATATATATAACCTCTCCAAACGGGATTCAATCCCTTGCCGCCATTGCACGTGAATGCAAGATGGTCGCTCTAACCACTCGTATACGTCGTATAGTGGGTTGTGTACGAGTGGTTTGAGCAACCATCTTGCATTCACATGCAACAGCGGTGAGGGATCGAATCCCGATTGGAGAGGTTATATACATTCATACATAACAGTGAGAGCTAACAGCTTTGGAAATATTCCTATACCCTGTAAACTAACCTCAAGAGAGAATTTCACAGCAACCTTAATGTTCCATTGCATTTTCTGTTGCATGAAGCTCATGTAATGCATATACTACATGGTGTATTGCATAATATTGCTCCCTTTATGATTACATTACCATTAACAAATTTTTACATGGTAAACCAATTTAGCATTATTATACTGTTGCTGCATTTATACACCTATTTTCAAGCTATATACATAGAACTAATTAGCTGTTTCAATAATGCAATTCCAACTGTAATACCCATATTATTGACTTATGTTTTACAAACCTAAATATTTACCAAATGTTACTAACCTATTGATGCAATTTCTTGAGTAGAAATAAATGAAATATGATTTGTATGAAATGATATTACATTGTAAAATATCTTTCTTGATACTCATGTTGTTAATACAATTTATGATTGAAAAAGAAAATCACAAATGAAGGTAAATCAGCCCTTCGTAATATCTTCTAGGAAGATATATCTTTCAAGCCTCATACCTTTGATAACAGTTCTACAATATTTTTCTCTATGATGCTGAAGACCTGTGACAATTCCCATCAAACTGGTGACATTCCCTCGTGTTTAGACTTTGGACGAATCACTTGCTCAAAACCCTTTTTCTTATCACCACCACCATCACCTGTTATTTACAACCACACAATGACCAGGACCCAAGTTGTGATACGAACTGTCTGACATTAATTGTTTCCTCCATCTTGGCGTTGTGGTCAGCATGGCCCGGGTTGGGCTTACTGGATTGGTCTTCCTACAAGAGTGAGATACTGCCAGTGTTTGCATGCAGTCCTACTAAAAGAGGATTTTTTTTTTTTTTTTTTTTTTTTTAATTCTGTATCTTACCTTGGGTACTTTTCTCTTTTTGTACTGTAATTTTAGGCTTGGCTGCAATTATTCTAATTTATGATCTTTCCATGTTTGATTTTATAGGAATTCTTTATCTACACCTGAAATGAAATAGCCTAGAATCTTTTTTATTGATCGTTTAAATGTTATCAGTGTTCCCTCAGAGATTATACATTAGTACAGATGTTCAGACAAGAATTTTAAGGAAAGTTAACAAAAAATAAAATCAACACATATTCACATTAGGTAATTTGATAAAAAAGAACTATGTCTGTGTAATAGACATTAATGCTTATTAATGCATTTTAACAATTATAAATTAACTTTTCTTTATGATTATACATTCACTAATATACTGAAATCATATAAAACAACAGTAACTTTACTAATTGGCTTAACAAACTAGCCAGTTTTTGTAAGACAGATTACTGTTGACAATTAACCATAGCATTAACAGATTCAAGACTTCTTGTATATGAAAAAGTAATTCACTTCTTTTGCAAACCAATCATCAGGACACTTGTGGAAGATGAGGCTCTCAACACTACCCCAACCCGTACCACGTCTCGTCTAACTTCGCCGACACCCCAGAGTTCAGCTTCCTCCAGCTATCGAAACTACTCTACCTTGGATTCTCCGAGATACTCCAATGCATCTTCCTCCATCACACCATTGTCTCGCAGAACGTCTTTCTATCGATACTGAAATACTGTATGGGCTTCTTTTACAAGCAACACATTTTGTCCATTGAAGTTATTTTGGACTTTCTCTTTTTAAGAAAATGAGGAATATTGATTATTTTGTTTTTAAAAATCAACAAGAGTGAGAAACTGTCATCCAATACTTTTACTCGTATACTTATATGTACAATTATTGTATTCTTCCCAGTATTCTACTGCAAGTCTATTTTTACATATTAATATTTTTTATGTAAGTTCTGTCAATAGACTTTTACCATAATTTATCCCCATATGGCATTTCCCATTTCTGTAAGGAAAGCCATTGTGTGCATTGGCTGAAAAAAAGTAAAAGGGAGAAAAAGCATTTTATGCATAGAGTAGCATAGAGTGGACTTTTATGTTTTCTAAATGCTTTTTTCTATACATGGACAAGAAAGTACATCTTATTTTGAAACACTAATTATGAGCCTTCTGTCACACTATCAACATCCTAGTTATTAATCAATTGTTTTTTGCTTCATTCTATTATCGTTAGATATCCATTTTCAGATGTCTGTTTTTATAATGCTTGTTTTTTTCAAATATAGTAATATAATTTATTGCTTTGTATATGTATTTATTTAAGTTTTAACTACTTATTTTGTAGAGAGGAAAGTTTGAACTGGTGCTAATTTCTTGGGTGTTTATATGAATGTCTCTTGTGTGATAACCCACACTTACATTGCTGTACATAATGCAGTTAGCCAGAACACCATTTCTACTATAAACAGCATAATCAAATTTATTGCAACAGAATCAGTTACCTCCAGTATTACCAAGATAAATCCTAAATACATATAATCTACCTGCAGTCACACCCTCTAAAACAAGGAGGCCTCTCTGGAGCTCTTGTGAGTCCAATCGAGGAGCTCCCCGTCATATTGTGGAGAACTGTCAGTTCATGCTCTTCATTTACTTTTAAAACCTCATGCAAGATTGTTAACCTTATATTCACCCTTAACAGACCATTCAAAATCACTAAGTTTAAAAGAAAAAATGATTAGGAAATAAAGAACCACATTTGTTTTGAAGCACTATATCCTGACAGTATCTACATCCTGCTTTATCAAAAGCACATATACCTCCTGATGCTGTTCCACTGGAGCAACCATCAGGAGAAGCTCTTACCCTCTTATGCCAAATCAGATGTGTGCATTGGCTAAGCCTATCCCATAACAATCATATACAGATAAGCACACTATCACATCACTCAGGGTACTTGTGGTGTTCTGGATCTCCCTTGCAGTGCTTCCAGTACTCAGGATTATCATGATCATTGCTCACAAATGTTATACAAATATGGAAGTATTCTGAAGGTATGCCTACATCAGTAACATTATATGCTTGTACAAGTGAGGAAACTTGTCTCAATTGATGGTTCAAATTTGTTATACAAGTTAAATACTTTTCTAAACAAGTCACCTGCTTCATTTTTTAAATCTTACTTTTTTCAGAAACAAGTTTATTAGGTCAAATTAAGTCTTCAATTGAGAGAAAATAATTTATCAATACAATAACATGAATTTGAATATCTTATAGTACATGTATGCAATCCTACAGAAATTTGTAATAAATTGTGCAACTGCTCTACTTTACAAAATTTCAGCACATCTCCATTTTGGATAGATTCATAACTATAAAATTCCAGTTTAATCTGTGGATTGGATTCTATTTCTTGTAGTAGTGATGATGAACTGTATAGCACAACCATATCACATTTTTGCATTTTTCAACATTAATATCTGTATTTATTTATAGTAAGCAAATGAAGTGTATATAAGAAGCTTTTCATATTTCGTAAGAACAGGAACAAACATCCAACTTGTATATGTATGTAAATATTTTCGTAGAATTATGGATATCTTAACAGATGATACTGTAATAAAATATATTACAAAAGTTCTCAGGTTGATAGTGTGACCTCAACAGCACTGATAAAACAGATTATAATGACAATGCATCGACTATTATTTCTCAACTATAAGACAAATACAACTGACCCTATATATGTGAATTTTCAAGAAAACATTGACAAGACCTACTTTTGTAGCAACAACCATAATAATTTAACCAAACATGGATACTGTGTCTAATAGAGATGTGTCTCAACACTTACATGGCAGTGCACTTGTTCAGAGTTCCAGTGGTGATGTAATACTTACACTGTGTATTGTGTCTTTGGTGACTCATTTGGAGGCACTCGTTTTCTGGCACCTTATGACAGTTTTCCATCTGTATTGTGCCTTATGATAATTGTAAATATTTGTGGTATAACCCTTTTTTTAATATTTGTATTTCTAAGATGAAGTGATTGTTAATTACTCTTATTGTGTCAGTTCACTTATTTGTATCTATGAATGAATATTTTTCATGCTACTGTGATTTTAGACTGTATTTTAGTTTTTCTATTTGTATCACAGATGACTAAGGTAGTTTCTAGCATTTTGATTAAATTGATATTTATGTCTAAATAGCTGCTTCTTTCACACCCGATCAAGATTATGAACTTCAGGTAAGCAGGCCTGATAAACAATTGCATAAAGGCAGTTGCAGAGAAATATTTTTACTGTACTATATAATACGGATATTTTTTCTTTATACTGCTAACATCATTATTATTTCAACTGCTAAGTATGTGTTCATGGGTGTGTGTGTATATATATAGACTGTTAGACATTTACTTTATACAATTGATCTGCAAGCACAAAAGCACATGGGTCAACACTTGAGTCCTTTACCCTGGTGTGTAGCATATACAGGCAGGGGCTGTAACATTTACCCAGGTTGTTGATATTCTTGTTTAACCAAGTGTGTTTATTTAAGATTATATATTGTTCAGGATCTTTCCTGGACAGGCTCCTTCTGTGTTTCTTAAGTAAACAGTAAAAAATAAATAATAAGCTCATCTTTGTTTTATTTGGTGATCCAAGCCAACAAATTAAACAGGTGATACTCAAATCATATCATTAAGATTGTGCTCCAAACTTGTAATCCACATTTTGAATTTGTATTTTTTACGCAAAACAAAAGGGAATAAATCAATTGGTTACTAATGTTCATTTATAGTATTTCAAGTACTTTGATACAAAGAATGATTTTAACAGCATACAAAATCTGCAAGTTACAAGATCAAATATACCAAATAAGCATAGCATCACATGAAAATAAACAGAAAAAATTAGGCTGTCCTAAAAATCCAAGAAAACATATCATACATATAGCACTTATTCAATAGGCGATTCTGTGCTTTTGAAGTGGTCGTCATCAACAGTCGAGTAGATATGGCCTTCAATGCTCAAGAATTCAAGGGATTTGCTGCAAGATGAAAATTATAATTGTAAATTTATTCTGCATTTGTCAAGCAAGCAAGCATGCAAGCAAAAAAGAAAAAAGAAGAAAAAAAACACACGCACACACACACACACACACACACACACATATATATATATATATATATATATATATATATATATATATATATATATATATATATATATATATATATATATATATATATATATATATATATATATAATAATAATAATAATAATAATAATAATAATAATAAACATTTCATTAAAAAAGATGACTATGCATTAGTTAGAGGAATATCAACATCAAATCCCTCCTACACATTTTAATGAATATATAACTTCTTTTCTACTGATGATGAATGAATATTGATATATTATCAGGTAATGATTAGTGACAATCCTAATCCTAATCCAAATAATAATAACAATAATAATCACATAAACAATACCATCAACAATGACCGATGATAATTGATACTACCATTACTAACAATAATAATAATGCTAATAATAATTAATATTTCATGATAATGAAGATGAAGGCTTCAAGAAGAAATGATCCATCAGAAAAAATAAAAAATGGAATACTCACTCAACTTGTGGAGGCCCAGCTTTGCCTTTCAGGGTGCTGTAGAGGACATCTCTCCCAACACCCTGTTTGTTTTTACACATGCTGATTGTCTGGTAGACCAGGTGGTCAACACCCTCCAGTCCATGCATGTTCCCCATACCTCCACTTCCTGCTCCTCCCATCCCTCCCATGCCACCATCCAGGCCTGTGGCACCCACGAGAGAGTTGGACATCATGCCTGAGGGTCCCGACATGCTTCTCATTCCACCAGAGTTTTGCTGTTGAGAAAAAGTGAGAACTGAATAATAATCCTGGGTATGACTTATAAACAATGATATATATTCATGGGTTATTTCAGAGTTTTGTGCATCAAACTGAAGGTTTACTAAAACATAATTGAAGTATATCATTACAAACATTAATTAAAACATTCTCAAAAAATCTGCAATAACAAATCTTATGTATATCCTTTTTCATGGTTCAGTGAATCAATGAACAGAGCAAAAGATGTAGTACAAAATCAACTACTCACCAGTGTTTCAATATGCTGAAGTTTGAGCTGTGCATGAATGACTTCCAGAATGTGTGTGGTTATGAAGTTGAGGTCAGTGATGGGCACAATACGGAACACCATGAGGTTGCGTTTACCCTGGTGTGACCTGACTGACCCAGCAATTCGGCAATATGTCATTTCCATCAAAGGACCTTTGGAGCCATCATCTCCACCTTCCTACAAAAGAGAGAGAAATCATTACAAAGTTATTGAGAGATAACAAAAATAAATTGTCCCACTGAATGCTGAAGTATAACACTGTAATGGAAAAAAGAAAAGGTATCTACATAATCATTGAAATAATGTATGCTTTCTGAATTGAATAAAAATTATAAATGAAGTAAAAGATAGACTTATTACAATGAGTCCGACAGACAGACAAACAAAAAGAAAAACAGTATGATACATCAACTATACTATGTATTATACATAAATATAAAGACCTTGGGGCATAAAAAAAAGTCTTACCTGATCAGCATCAATCCATTGCACAGCATCAATGAGACCAGTTGTGTCATCAATGGTGTATGTTATCTTGGTACTTGTTACATCTACTGCTCGGATCAGACCTACTACCATGATCATGTGTACCTGTTGAGACATACACAAGTAAATATTTAGAAAGGAATATATTTACATTAACAACAACTGAATTTAATCAATTGTGTTCAAAATGTATCAAGTTTCAATCACAAAGATAATGATATCTTAATTTGCATTTAATATTCATCGTTATAATTAAAGAGATAAAGTTTTAAAAGAAAGAAAGACAGAAAAATAGTATTTCTGTAAATACAGTTATATGCAATGCAAAAACAAGGATTGTCCTAGTGAACTTACATCCATTCCTGCAATCTGCAAGGTGTCCTCTGTTGAGTCAATGATGCTCTTTACAGTCACAGGGACCAAGTTCTGTGACCGCCTTGCCTGAAAGAGAATCATTAATCAGAACATAATAAAACAATGT